TCTCTGTGCAATGCTATGGGTCTGTGCAAGTTTACGGGGTCTCTGTGCAATTCTATGGGTCTGTGCAAGTCTGTGGGTCTCTGTGCAAGTCTGTGGTTCTCTGTGCAAGTCTGTGGGTCTCTGAAATTATATGGGTCTTTGCCTGCGGCCCTCTGCGCAAATCTATGGGTCTCTGTGCAATGCTATGGGTCTGTGCAAGTTTACGGGGTCTCTGTGCAATTCTATGGGTCTGTGCAAGTCTGTGGGTCTCTGTGCAAGTCTGTGGGTCTCTGTGCAAGTCTGTGGGTCTCTGTGCAAGTCTGTGGGTCTCTGTGCAAGTCTATGGGTCTCTGTGCAAGTCTATGGGTCTCTGTGTGAGTCTATGGGTCTCTGTGCAAGTCTATGGGTCTCTGTGCAAGTCTGTGGGTCTCTGTGCAATTCTATGGGTCTGTGCAAGTCTGTGGGTCTCTGTGCAAGTCTGTGGGTCTCTGTGCAAGTCTGTGGGTCTTTGTGCAAGTCTATGGGTCTCTGTGTGATGAGTCTATGGCTCTCTGTGTAGTGAGTCTATGGGTCTCTGTGTGAGTCTATGGGTCTCTGTGCAAGTTTGTGTGTCTCTGTGTGAGTCTATGGGTCTCTGTGTGAGTCTATGGGTCTCTGTGCAAGTCTGTGGTTCTCTGTGCAAGTCTGTGGGTCTCTGAAATTATATGGGTCTTTGCCTGCGGCCCTCTGCGCAAATCTATGGGTCTCTGTGCAATGCTATGGGTCTGTGCAAGTTTACGGGGTCTCTGTGCAATTCTATGGGTCTGTGCAAGTCTGTGGGTCTCTGTGCAAGTCTGTGGTTCTCTGTGCAAGTCTGTGGGTCTCTGAAATTATATGGGTCTTTGCCTGCGGCCCTCTGCGCAAATCTATGGGTCTCTGTGCAATGCTATGGGTCTGTGCAAGTTTACGGGGTCTCTGTGCAATTCTATGGGTCTGTGCAAGTCTGTGGGTCTCTGTGCAAGTCTGTGGGTCTCTGTGCAAGTCTGTGGGTCTCTGTGCAAGTCTGTGGGTCTTTGTGCAAGTCTATGGGTCTCTGTGCAAGTCTATGGGTCTCTCTGCAAGTCTATGGGTCTCTCTGCAAGTCTATGGGTCTCTGTGCAAGTCTATGGGTCTCTCTGCAAGTCTATGAGTCTCTGCAAGTCTGTGGGTCTCTGTGCAAGTCTATGGTTCTCTATGCAAGTCTATGGTTCTCTGTGCAAGTCTACGGTGACCAGGCCAGAAACTCAGCGAAAGGTTTCCTGCGCCGGAAAATGAACCCAGGCCCCCACCCCCCTTGCTGTGAGCCGCGAGTGTCAACGCCATGCTGCTGCCACCATTCTGCCGCTTGAATCGTTTTTGTCGCCGTCGTCGTTGTCATCGTTGTCATCGTCGTCTTTATCGTCGTCATCGTCGTCGTCGTCGTCGTCGTCGTCATCGTTGTCATCGTCGTCGTTGTCGTCGTTGTCGTCGTCGTCGTCGTCATTGTCATCATCGTCGTTGTGCTTTCGCAGATTCACGCCGTTGCCGCGAAGATGATCCCGGGCGGACTTCGCGACCGCCATCTCGTCCTCGGCTCGGCCTGATTCGGGCCGCCGAGCCTCCTCCCGGGCCCCTTGCCGCCCGTCCGGCGTCCGAACTCGCCTGGCGGCACCTCGCACGCCTGTCGATTTCCCCCGGCGAGTCGTTTCGAGAGGACGATCGCGCGCTTCGCACGAGCGCGGCGGCCGCAGCGGCAACGGCAACGGTCGATGTCTGACTGACACGAGACGCCCTGGACCGCTTGGGTGCACGCTTGACGGTTTCGGCGGCGGCGGTCCGTCCCCAGTCGTCATGGCGAGCTACGATGAAGACATCGCGAGGAATCCGTTCTTCCTCGCGCTGCAGCGCAAGAGGCCGGAGCTGTTCCGCAAGGCGGCCGAGCTGCATGCCGTGGTGGGTGGACGCGGCGCTAGCGGCACACCCCCTCTCCCCTGCCTCCCCCCCGGCCACCAGCGCAGCTTGTGGCCACGCACACACCCTCGCTGGCTCTCTCCGTGTGAACAACGACTCTGGGCGTCTGTGAAAAAAAGCTTGATAACTCATCGGATTCCTCCACTGATTTTCTACACCGAGCGCCACCGCTGTTACGCTCCCACTCGAGTCAGCGGCACACTCCCCCTCCCTCCCCCCCTCCTCCCCCCTCCCCTACTGGCTGTGAGAACACGGCACATGCCGATCGCTTGGATTTATCTGCGGGCGTTCCGGTTTTTCTCTCCACGTTTAGAATCAACATCGCGCCTTTCAGAGCATATGCCTGCTATAAATATCCACGTGATGATGATGGTGATAGTCCACTTTTGTCGAGCCATCGTTTTTGATGGCCAGGTCGCCTGTGAAAAAAAAGAAGCCACGTTGCAGTTCAGTGGGGCCTTGCCTGGTAAAATATACTAAATATATAAAGGGGTAACAACGTTAAACGCCTTGCCCTTTGTGTCCGCAGGTGCTGGTGCCTTGCCAGGGCAGTGTCCGCTCCGGGGCTCTGTCCTCCTGCCCGTTCGAGTCGTACATTCTGCTCCCGTCCGCCGACGAGCAAACTCGCTACGTCTCTATGGGTGGCCAGGTGGGGGTCTCGGCTCACACCCTGCGTCTCTCGATGGCGGAAATAATGACGACGATGATGGTGATGATGTCTCTTAGGAGCAGAGGGCCCCGCAGTGTCTGAGTGTACGTGTGAGTGTATGTGTGTGTGTATGTGTGTGTGTACATGTGTGGGTACGTACGTGTGTACATGTGTGGGTACGTACGTGTGTACGTGTGTGGGTACGTATGTGTGTGTACGTGTGAGGGTACGTGTGTGTGTACGTGTGAGTGTACGTGTGTGTCTACGTGTGTGTCTACGTGTGTGTGTGTGTACGTGTGTGTGTGTACGTGTGTCTGAGTGTACGTGCGTACGTGTGTGTGTACGTGTGTACGTGTGTGTGTACATGTGTCTGAGTGTACGTGTATGTGTGTGGGTACGTGTGTACGTGTGTGGGTACATGTGTGGGTACGTGTGTGTGTACGTGTGTCTGAGTGTACGTGTGTGTGTACGTGTGAGTGTACGTGTGTGTGTGTACGTGTGTACGTGTGTGTGGAGCAGTAGGCGGCACAGGTGGTGCATCTGCCTGTCATCTCAGTCGGTCAACCCAGTGGCGGCACCTGGGCCTGTCCCATGATTTCCTGTCATCGAGCCTTCGACGCTTTACATGGCCTTAAAGTGCACCTGGCCTGGCACAGGTGCTGTGGTGACGTCACCGCCACTTTGTGTCGAATGGCGCGTGTTGTTGTGTGGCGGTTAGCGCGCTGCGCTATGAACCTGGTAACCCGAGTTTGATTCCTGCTCATGGCAATGAGCACCGGTGGCTGTTATCTGAACCGTTCGTGGGCCCTCTCCAAGGTCGACTCGGCCTCAAATGGAAGCCCGGTGCGATCGTGTAAGCAACAACATCGCCACTGGGGAGGCGAATACGGCCGGGCAAGGTGCTTGCCACCCCAGCCCCCTCGTGTGCCCTGCCGGCCTTAGTCGGTGGTCGCTAGAGGTCGCAAACGGGTTTTGATTCCTTACCTGTACCCGTACCCGGCCGCACCAGGGTCGCAAACGGGTACCTGTACCCGTACCCGATACCCGGCCGGGTACGGGTAGCCGGGTATCGGGTAGGGTACGGGTATCGGGTACCCGATTGCGACCTCTGGGATGAAGCCATGTTGCAGGCGCGGGTGGGTTGATTCTAGGAACTTGAATTGTGAGAAGAGACAAGACGTTGGGGAATGAGTGACAAACGGTTACTCACCAGTGACTCACGGCCTACCTGTACCCGTACCCGGCCGCACCAGGGTCGCAAACGGGTACCCGTACCCGTTTGCGACCGGGTACGGGTAGCCGGGTATCGGGTAGGGTACGGGTATCGGGTACCCAATTGCGACCTCTGGTGCTCGCTAACAGCACTTGCCCCAATAGTCTATTTAGGCCAGTGTACTTCAATGCCTGGTGGCCTTCAGTGCGGCCTCTGATGTGCGGCCCCTCCTGGCAACACACAAGAGTGAAAATACCCCCCCCCCCCCCATCATCATCATGCTGCTGTCAAACCCCCGTTGGTTTGAAATGTGTGGCCGGCCCTCGCACCGATGATGTCTGAAAATAACTGAAGAGCACTGATTTCATACTTTTTGGTTTTTTCGGTAAAGTCACGTAGGTAAAAAATATAATAAATTAAAATGAAAACAACTAAAAAAAAAGCATGGATCCTTGCAGTCACGAAAACTTCAAATCTAGAAGCACTGATTTCGCCAACACACGGGGGCGATGGGGCCGGGGGAATCTTGAATCTTGCGCTGCGTCCGTGCGTGCCCGTGCCTCTCCCTGCGTCTCTCTCGCCGTGCGTCACCCGCAGGCGGTGTCGCTGCGTGGGGGGGAGCTCTGTCTCACCGGGGGAGAGGGGCCCTCCGTGTCAGCCCGCGTGCTCTTCGAGGAGACCTTCTACACGGACCGCGAGGAGAGCCTCAGCCTCATCTGCATCTCCCGCCCGCTCGACGCGCTGCCGCCGCCCGCCCACCCAGGCACGGCCACCGCTCTCGCTCGCTCGCTCCCGGATCGCACGATTGCGGGCCCTGCCACGCTCCTCGCCGATCTCGGCACGGGAGCGTGAACCTTCGTCGCGTGAACCGTCGTCGCGTGAACCGTCGTCGCTTGAACCGTCGTCGCGTGAACCGTCGTCGCGTGAACCGTCGTCGCGTGAACCGTCGTCGCGTGAACCGTCGTCGCGCGAGCTCTGCTCGTCCTCGCAGCAGCAGCAGCAGCAGCGGCGTCGGCGGCTTTTTGGCAGGCCTTCGGACAAAGACGGTGGTCCCCGCGTCGTCGCGCGGCGCTTTCGGATGCGCTTCTGCGGCCGTCTGGAACGCCTCTTCCTTCCGATATTAGGAAGCCACTGGAGCGATGCACTTTGAAATCACCATCATCTAGATTGAAAAACCAATTTTCTTTCGAACTGCTTTTTGTGTTTAGCTTGTTGTCCTTCCCCCGCACCTACGATCGCCACGGTTGGCTGCGTATCATCACGGTGCGTTTGTGGCAAGCGCTTTGTGCGTGGCGAGTGCGACCTTGTGACGAGTTCGCCCGGCAGCCGCAATCCAACGCAGCGCGCCGAGCACCGGACGGACGAGAGTCCTGAACCCGTGCGCGTCTCTCCCGCAATGTCCCCACAGACGCAGAAGGCTCCGGTGTCTCCATGGCGACCGTTTCCCTCTCCACGTCCTGCCCAGGGGGAGCCTCCTCCGGCGCCGCGCTCCAGGCCCCCGCCTCGCTGGGCCCAGGCTCCATGGACGAGTGCCGCGAGGTTCTGGCGTGGACCGAGTCGCCGGCCGGCGGTGGTGGTGGTGGTGCAGGAGGAGGCGGATCGGCGACGGCGGCGACGACGACGGCGGCGCGGAGAGACGTGGACCGCCGCATCGCGGTGTTCACCGCGTCGTTCCGCCAGCTGGAGGGGAGGAGCCTGCGGCACCACATCGTGAGCTGGCGGCGGGGGGAGACGGGGGGAGGGGGGGGGAGGGTGGGGATGAGGAGGGGATGAGGAGGGAGGGAGGAGGGAGGGGATGAGGAGCAAGGGAGGGGGGTGGGGGGGAGGGAGGGGGGTGGGGGGAGGGAGGGGTGGGAGGAGGGAGGGGTGGGTCGAGGGAGGGAGGGGGGGGCGAGGAGGGAGGGGGGGCGCGAGGAGGGAGGGGTGGGAATATATTTTATTGACAATAACGGAGTAGATTTGATTATTGGCGCTGTCGTTTTTCTAGCGCCTCATGCCATCGCGACGGAAGGCTCTGCCTGTGCCTCGCAGACGCTGCCTGCAGGTGTTTTGCTGTAGGGGTGGCGATGTTGCGGCCGTATGTAACGTCATTCTCACTCCCAATTAGCGCGTTTGGCTACGCGCTAATGCAAATGAAGTTCTACATACATTCGAGTAATTCGCAAGGCATTTTCAGCATGTTGCTCTGTCGTCTCGCCGTGGGTCACCCCCAGTGGCAGCTGACCCTATGCAGTAGTTTCACAGCAGGGGGCGATGTTACTACGTGTGCATTGTACACACACGTACACATTATTGGCGCGTGCGCTCATGTGTGCGTATATGTGGTTTGGCGGTTAGCGCCTTTGCGCTACAAACACAGTGACCGGCGTTCGATTCCCGCTCGTGGCCACCACCAGTGACGATTATCTGGACCTCCCCGAGGTTGAATCATCCTGAATGAGTACCTGGTGCGGTCTTTAAACATCGCCACTGGGGAGACAAAGGCAGCCGGGCGTGGTGTTGGCCTGGCCACCCACCCCCTCGTGCATTGCGCCGGCCTTCATAGTTGCTACTACTGCGCCGGGCATAATATGACTTTGAGACCCCCCCCCCACCTCCTACACATTCCACAAGTAGTGACTAATCCCATATCTGCATTTTCCATAAAAATGCTAAATTCCTCTGTTGATATGCAAATTTCTTTGTCAAGGCGCCCTTCCTCCCCTAACCCGGCTTAAATATACGCTGCCAAGCTTGGTGGTGTTCATTCAGACGCTGTCTTTTCGACAGCCCTGTTCTTCACCTGAGGACAGCCGCTTGCGTTGTGGCCGAAACGTCGTGAGAATTGTATTTAATGATGTTTTATTTTTATTATTTTATTATTTTCCTTCTACGTGACTTTACCGAAAGAACCAAGAAGATTGCTGCTACTCGTTAATAGCACTTGCCCCAACAGTCTGTTAAGGCAATACGGGGCATCTTTGCCTTTGTTTTTTTTTGCGTGTGCAGGATGCAGTCGGCGCTCTGTACAGCAAGTGTCTGCAGGTCGTGCTGAAGGACCCACAGCTGGTGAGAAACTTCCCCCAACGGCGCAGGCTTTGGCCCCGTCAAGCAGAGGTCACAAACGGGTTTTGATTCCTTACCCGTACCCGTACCCGGCCGCACCAGGGTCGCAAACGGGTACCCGTACCCTACCCGATACCCGGCCGGGTACGGGATAGCCGGGTATCGGGTACCCGATTGCGACCTCTGGGATGAAGCCATGTTGCAGGCGCGGGTGGGTTGATTCTAGGAACTTGAATTGTGAGAAGAGACGAGACGTTGGGAAATGAGTGACAAACGGTGACTCACCAGTGACTCACGGCCTACCCGTACCTGGCCGCACCAGGGTCGCAAACGGGTACCCGTACCCGTACTCTACCCGATACCGGCTACCCGTACCCGGTCGGGTACGGGTAGGGTACGGGTATCAGGTACCCGATTGCGACCTCTGCCGTCAAGGCACGACGACGATAATGACGACGACGACGACGATGATGACGATGACGACGACGATGACGACGATGATAGTGGATAGATCGTGGCCGCCGGCGATGGCTGACGGCACCTGTCCTTGTGCTTTTGCAGAAATCGCTGGCGAGGCAGGAGGCCTCCCTCAAGCTCCTCAAGCAGGCGGTGGAGGTGAGTGCCCGCCTACTCGCCCCCTACTCGCCCGCCTACTCGCCCCCTATTCATCCACCTACTCGCCCACCTACTCGCCCGCCTACTTGCCCGCCTACTCGCCAGCTCACCCGTTCATCCACCTCGCCCCAGCTCTCCCGCCCACCCAGCTCGCCACGCTCGCCAACCTCAAATGCTCAGCAGCTCACCGGCTGACCCCCATTACTCGCCACAGCTGCCCGCCCACTCGCCTGCCTCATCAGCTGACCCATTCGCCCAGCTCACCAGCTCACCAGCTCACCAGCTCACCAGCTCACCCGCTCACTCACTACAACCGCTCGCCCACTCGCCCGCTTTACCAGCTCACCCGCTCGCCGAGCTCGCAACTCGCCCACTCGCCTCCCTAAGGACTCGCCTAACCAGCTCGGCCAATCGCCCGCCTCGCCCTGGTGGTCTGAGGGCACGCGGTTAGTGTGGGTTGAGTTGCGGGGTGTGCGTGTGGTGAGGACGCGTGGTGTATGTGGATGAGTAGAATGTGTGAAGGTGTGGTGAGTGTTACGAGTGTGGCGAGTGTGGTGTGCGTGCTGAGTGGGATGTGTCTGTGTGTGGGGTGAAGGCGCACGTAGTGTAGCGGTTAGCGCACTGCGCTATGAACTCGGCGACCCGAGTTTGATTCCCGCTCACGGCCAACACCAGTGACGATCATTTGAACCGGTCTTGGGCCTCCCCTAGGTCGACTCGGCCTCAAATGACCACCCAGCGGCCGAGCGTGGTGCTGGCCACCCACCCCCTCGCGTGTCGTTCCGGCCTTTATAGGTGCCACTCGCTAACAGCACTTGCCCCAACAGTCTGCTCGGGGTGTACGGGGTGGTGAGCGTGGTGATCGCGTGTGCCACACAGATGTACGTTCTGAACGGAACCCACGACGCCATCTTCAAGGCCATCGGTACCATGGAGGCCAGCCAGGTGTGACTCGCCTATCTACCTACTACCTACTCGCCTACCTACCTGTTTACGTACCCAATTGTCTACGTACCTACCTACTCGCATTCCTACTTGCATACCTATTTGTGTACCTACTCGCCTATCTACCCACTCGCCACCTACTAACCCACCTACTCGCATGTTTATCTACCTGCCTGCCTACCGCTCGCTCGCGGGCACACACACACACACACAAACGCTCGCATACTTAGAAGACAACTGCAACCTCCATCATACAATTGTGTGTGCACGCATGTGTGCATGTGTGGGGAGCGGTGGTATAGCGCTCAGCGCGCTGCGCTACGAACCTGGCGCCCCGGGTTCGATTCTCGCTCATGGCCAACACCGGCAGTTACGATTATCTGAACCGGCCCTGGGCCTCCCCTAGGTCGACTCGACCTCAAATGAATACCCGTTGCGGTGCGTAGTAAACATCGCCACTGGGGAGACAAAGGCGGTCGGCCGTGGTCCTGGCCACCCAACCCCTTCGTGTGCCGTGCCGGCCTTCATAGGTGCTGCTCGCTAACAGCACTTGCCCCAACAGTCTGCTAAGGCTACACGGGGGCGGGGGGGATCTTTGTCTTTGTGCTGTGTGCAGGACGCAGCCTTCAACAAACGCACACGGTCCCTGCAGGACCTGCAGCTCAAGGACCTCGACATCACCTCTGACCTCAGGTTTAGCTGCCCGCCCAGAATGCGTGGATACAATAAGTAATTTCGCCCTGTTCTTCGCCTGAGGACGGCTGCTTGCGTTGTGGCCGAAACGTCGTGAGAATCGTTTTTTATTATGTTTTATTTTCATATTATTTTATTATTATTATTATTTTATTTCCCTTCTACGTTACTTTACCGAAAGAACCAAGAAGATAAAAAGTAATATTTAAAAAAAACTTTTTTAATAACACGCTTTAATGAAATGTACCGTACTAGTAGGGGCAAAAACTCCACGACTCCAGGAAGTGGCCCCGAAGCTTGCCATAACGTAAAGGACCGTAGTGATTTACAGCCAACGTCAGTTGAGAGTGGACAATTAGACCCACAAACATAACATATAAAAAATAATGTTAAATAATTGTATTTGATTTTTCATGATAGAATATAGTATTGTCATCAGTATGACATAAGTATACCAAGTTTGCACATTGGGAAGTGGGTAAAAAAAGATTTGAAGACGCAACAGACAGAGTGAGTTAAATAAAAGCGTGTAATAAAAATCAATGTAATACAACAAGCCTTCAGGCCTGGCCATTAAGGGAGCCTTCAACGCAGTGGCTCTTCACCTGGGGTGCACGCACCCCCTGGGTGTGCAAGACATGGCCAGTTTTTTCTCGAAGGTAAATCATCTACAGCACAAAGTAGCTACAGGCGCGTTAAGGGGCCGTCCATAAATGACGTCACGCACCTGGGGGGGGGGGGGTCAGACATTTGTGACTATGTGTGACGAGGGGGGGGGGGGTTGGTGAGAAATGTGACGTCACGTAAAAAATGCGCAACTTTAAATAGATATAGACAACACGTTCTACTTAATTAAATATACTTTTTAATAAATGTTTTCTCCTACAACATCAGAGTGCAGCGCCACATTAAATAAGACATGCTTCAAAGCAATTTTAAGCATTTTTAAAATGTATTTTGGGGGGGGGGGGGGGTGGGCAGAGCTTTGTGACGTCATATTTGAGGGGGGGTCTGACTTTTTGTGACGCCGTGTGACGAGGGGGGGGGGGAGGGGGTCAAAAATCGTCCAAAATCGCGTGACGTCATTTATGGACGGCCACTGAGTAACGACTTACTTTGTTTCATCAAACCCTGTGCATTTATTCACATTTGCACATTTGTTCGTTAACGAATGAGAACCAACAAGGGGGGTACAAGGCTGCAGTAAAGGTTAAGAGCCGCCACTTTAACGAGTACCCGGCGCGGTGCATCACCGTCGGCAGCGGGGAGACAAAGGCGGCCGAGCGAGGGATTACGGACACACAGACACGCCTTCTCCTCGCCGCGCTGCTCGTTAACGGGGCACTTGCCCCAAACGGCCCCCCGTTAAAAGGCTACCCGGGGGACCTTTGTCTGCTCTTGTGGCTGCTGCTGCAGCATCAACATCCCGCGCGCCAAGCGAGTGCTGGGCCAGCTGAACCGGTGCCGCACGTCGCAGGAGAAGCTGCTGTGTCTACGCAGCGCCGTGCACACGGTGCTACTCTCGCCCAGCCACAGAGGTGCCATGTGTGTGTGTGTGTGCGTGTGTGTGTGTGTCTGGGTGAGTGTGTGTGTGTGTGCGTGTGTGCGTGTGCGCGTGTGTGTGCGTGAGTGTGCGTGTGTGTGTGTGTGTGCGTGTGTGTGTGCGTGTGTGTGTGTGTGTGTGCGTGAGTGTGTGTGTGCGTGTGTGCGTGTGTGTGTGCCTACGCAGCGCCGTGCACACAGTGCTGTTCTCGCCCACCCACAGAGGTGCCGCGTGCGTGTGTGTGTGTGCGTGCGTGTGTGTGTGTGTGTGTGTGCACATCTGGGTGAGTGAGTTTGTGTGTGCTGTGTGTCTGGGTGAGTGAGTGTGTGTGTGCTGTGTGTGTGCGTTTGTGTGTGCTGTGTGTGTGCGTTTGTGTGTGCTGTGTGTGTGTCTGTGTGAGTGCGTGTGTGGTGCTATGTGTGCTGTGTGTGTGCCTGGGTCAGAGCGAGTGAGTGTGTGCTGCTATGTGTGCTGTGTGTGCGTCTGGGTCCGAGTGAGTGTGTGTGCTGTGTGTGTGTCTGGGTCAGAGTGAGTGTGTGCGCTGCTGTGTGTGTATGTCTGGGCGAGAGCGAGTGTGTGTGTGTAACCCTACCCGTCAAGCGACGAGACACGCGTATGTGCCGCCATGTGACCCGTGTTCCCGCGCACAGTCAACGTCCAGGCGATGACGACGGACGACCTGCTGCCAATTCTCATTTTCCTCGTCGTCAAAACCGAAATCCCAAACTGGTGAGAGGACCCCTTCCTTATTGCTGCCAGTAGGTCTCATCGTGTGTCTGTGTGTGTCAATGGGATTGTGTGTGCGTGCGTGTGGCCTTAACGTGCACATAGCCAGGCACAAGCGCCGTGGTGATGTCACTGCCACTTAATGGCGAATGGCGGTTGTTGTTGTTGTTGTGTTAGGGGAGCGGTAGTGTCGAAGGTTAGCGCGCGCTGCACTACGAACCCGGCGACTCGAGTTCCATTCCCAATCTGCGATCAACAACAGCGGCGAATATTTGAATCGGTCCTGGGCCACCCCTAGGTCGACTCGGCCCCAATTGAGTACTGCCTGGATTGGTGTGTAAACATCGCCACTGGGGAGACAAAGGTGGCAGGGCATGGTGCTGGCCACCCACCCCCTCGTGTGTCGTGCCGGCCTTCATAGGTGCTCGCTATAACGGGGTGGGGGATCTTTGTCTTTATTGTGTGTGCGTGTGTGCGTGCATGCGTGTGTGCACGTGTGTGCGTGCGCGTGTGTGCGTGTGTGTGCGCGTGTGCGTGCGTGTGTGTGCGTGCGTTTGCAAGGCGCGCGAACCTGAGCTACGTGAAGAACCTGCGCTTCAGCGGGGGTCTGGAGGACGAGCTGGGCTACTGCCTCACCTCGTTTGAGGCCGCGGTGGAGCACATCCACGCGGGCATCCTGACTCCCGGGGTGAGCTCCACCTCCTCGGCATCGCCACGGCCGCGTGTGTGTCGTCGTCGCCCTGACCATCGTTGTCCCAGTGCATCGTCATCTCGGCCGGCTCGCCGTCGTCATCGTCATCGTCATCGTCGCCCCCGCGCTCATTTTCATCCCGTGTGCACAGGCGGGCGGCACCGGGTTGCCCGGGTCTCCGTGGAGTTCGCCCGGCGGTGCCATCTCCCGCGCCCCGTCCGCCTGCGCCATCGACCTCCTCTTCGAGGTGACCGCCGCCGCCGCCCCGTCCGCGCGCGGGAGCTCGTCGCCCCCGCTGGCTCCCCCATCCCATCTCCCCGCGTCGCCATCGTCGCCCCCCCCCCCTCTCCGCCTGCTCCCCACCCCCTCTCACCTCGCTCTGCTCCCCGTCCATGCGGGCCGGCAGCTCGGCACGCCGGCACGGGAGGATCACCCCCCCCACCCCCCGCCCATTAGTTGTTTTCCCCGCCGCAGAAGACCGAGCCGTGCTGCCGGCGTCGCACGCGGTGGACGCAGCGTTACCGTCCACCCCTGGCCCTGCTTGGCCCCCCTTGCCGAGCCAGTGTCGGATGTCGTCTTTGTTTGGTTTTGGCTTGGCTCGGATGTGCCAGTGGAAAAACACTCGTACCCTGCTGGCGCCACTCTGGCGCGGCTTGGATGTAGCAGTGGAAAACCACCCATGATGTATATTGAACTTTTTTGCGCACCGCACGTAGCCATCCGTGCTCACCACGCTGGCCCCACTCTAGCTCGGCTCGGAAGTGTCAGTGGAAAACCACCCGTACCGAGCTGGCTCGGTTTAGATGTGCCAGTGGAAAAAGAGACGATGCGCATCTGTGCCAAGGTCTGGCTAATTGCCAGGGTGCCCTCTCGTCCCCGGCTGGCCTCGTGCGTGCAGTGCGTGGCGAGCGGCCGCGACGAGGAGGTGTCGCGACTGCTGACGAGCGGGGAAGGAGGCAGCGGGGCGGACGCGGCGCTGTGCCACCCGCTGTGCTCGTGCGACTCGTGCGAGAGGATCGTGTCCGGGTGCGGCACCAACGCGCACACACACGAACCAATGCCAATGCCCGCCATTCGGCGCTAAGCGATGGTGACGTCACCGCAGCGCCTGTGCCAGGCCACGTGCACACGCACACACCCTTGTGTAGCCTTAACAGACTGTTGGGGCAAGCGATCTTAGCAAGTGGCAGCGCGTATGAATGCCGGCATGGTGCCCGAGGGGGGTGGTGTGGGCCACACCTCGCCCAGGGCCGCCTTTGTCTCCCTACCAACGATGTTAGCTACACACCGCAGCAGGTACTCATTCGAGGCCCAGTCGACCTAGGGGGAGGCTCAGGACTGGTTGGGATGATAATCGCCGTCGCACAGACGCACACTGTCGCACGAAACGACGACGAAAACAACGACAGATTTTGTCAAATCTTAGCTTGACCCTAACCCCAAACAGTACGACGACAAATTGACCTTCTCTCCGTTGTTTGACCTTTGCCGGCTTCCCCCACCCTTGACCTCCCCCCCCCCCTTTGCTGCCCCCTTGACCCCATCGCAGGCGGCTGAACGACCCCTCGGTGGTGACGCCGTTTTCGCGCAACGACCAGGGCCTCACGCCGCTGCACGTGGCTGCTCAGCACGGTCCGCGGCCGCACCCCCAAGCCCTCCCCCCCACCCCCAACCCCTCCCCCTCACCCCCAACCCCACCAACCCCTCCCCCAACCCCTCCCCCCCACCCCCAACCCCTCCCCCTCACCCCCAACCCCACCAACCCCTCCCCCAACCCCTCCCCCCCACCCCCAACCCCTCCCCCAACCCCTCCCCCCCACCCCCAACCCCTCCCCCTCACCCCTCCCCCCCACCCCCAACCCCTCCCCCTCACCCCCAACCCCTCCCCCTCACCCCCAACCCCACCAACCCCTCCCCCAACCCCCCACCCCCAACCCCTCCCCCTCACCCCCAACCCCACCAACCCCTCCCCCAACCCCCCACCCCCAACCCCTCCCCCTCACCCCCAACCCCACCAACCCCTCCCCCAACCCCTCCCCCCACCCCCAACCCCTCCCCCTCACCCCCAACCCCACCAACCCCTCCCCCAACCCCAACCCCTCCCCCCCAACCCCTCCCTCCAACCCCCAACCCCTCCCCCCCTCCCCCAACCCCTCCCCCCCACCCCCAACCCCTCCCTCTCACCCCCAACCCCACCAACCCCTCCCCCAACCCCTCCCCCCCAACCCCTTCCCCCCACCCCCAACCCCTCCCCCTCACCCCCAACCCCACCAACCCCTCCCCCAACCCCTCCCCCCCACCCCCAACCCCTCCCCCTCACCCCCAACCCCACCAACCCCTCCCCCAACCCCTCCCCCCCACCCCCAACCCCTCCCCCCCACCCCCAACCCCTCCCCCTCACCCCCAACCCCACCAACCCCTCCCCCAACCCCTCCCCCCCAACCCCTCCCTCCAACCCCCAACCCCTCCCCCCCACCCCCGTAGCCCCCCCCCCCGCGCCGCCACCGTCCCGCACATCACTCGCTCCTCGTCCTCACGCGTGTTCTTGATCGTCACGTCGCCGTTTCACGGCAGCCGCTATTTGGCTGCTGCTGTGAATGTCCACGCGATGGTAAGCCGCGTGGGCGAGCCATCATTCGCCATGGGCCAGGCCGCTTCCTGATGAAGAGCTGTGTGCGGCTCAGTGGTGCCTTGCCTGGTAAACAATTAAAACAAGTGGCGGCTAGAGTCCTCTCGTCCTCTGGCTTGAGATGGCTGCCACCTATGGGTCAGATGATTGCATGGCACCATTAAGCAATTGGTAATTAAATATAATATATTTGTCCTAAAAAGTGTAAAATTTTGGAAAAATGTTACACTTTTCACGAACATTAATTGTCACGCACAACGAGTCTGTGTGGAAAATGTCAACTCGATTGGATCACGGGAAGTGGGTTAAAAAACGACCGAAAAATTTGCACGGTCGTAAGCAAGCAAGCACGCAAGCGCGCAAGTGAATATAAAGGATTTAAAAACAATAAAAATAGTTTAGCTTCGTTTTACGTGACCGCACGGGGCATCGGCCGGTGGTGTCGCCACGCTTTTACAGCGCAGCACGCGTTTATAAAGCGGTACGTTAAATTACGATCGTTACCCTTGTCAATCATGCTTGTTTACACGGGGAAGCCTTGCCGAGTCTCGGGACGTAATTTTACAGGGAGGAGTCCTGCCTGTGACGCTCTTACCCGCGCGCCAGCTGGACATCGGTGAAAAAGAGCTTTTGTAGCTCATTGGATTCCTCCTGCAGTATAAATACAATATTTTGATTGTGAAGTTTTCGGAGTAGGGAGGGGTAGGGGATTGTGACGATGGCCACCGTGCGTTTCCCAGTTTTAAGAAATTTGCGATGTACTTTTTAAAAAGTTTAGGCCATGACTTTGTGATGTCACTTCCTTTGCCCCTCCCTCCCTCCCTCCCTCCCTCCCTCCCTCCCTCCCTCCCTCCCTCCCTCCCTCCCTCCCTCCCTCCCTCCCCTCCCCTCCCCTCCCCTCCCCTCCCCTCCCCTCTCCTCTCCTCTCCTCTCCTCCCCTCCGCTCGCTCTCTCCCTCCCCTCCCTCGGTCACTCCCTCCCCTCCCTCCGCTCCCTCCCTCCCTCGCTCTCCCTCCCTCCCCTCCCTCCCTCCCCGGCGGCGTGCAGGGCGCCTCTCCCTGCTGGAGTTGCTGCTGGCTGCGGGTGCCGTGGTGAACACGGTGGACTATCACGGCGCCTCGCCGCTCCACGCGGCCTGCTCACGGGGCCACCAGGCTGCCGCGGTGAGCACGATGGCCGCCGCTTAGTGCCGCTGGTCATCACCGATTTCCAGGGGGGTTGGTGGCAGAGGTCGCAATCGGGTACCCGATACCCGTACCCTACCCGATACCCGTACCCTACCCGATACCCGTACCCTACCCGATACCCGTACCCTACCCGATACCCGGCTACCCGTACCCGTTTGCGACCCTGGTGCGACCGGGTACGGGTAGGCCGTGAGTCACTGGTGAGTAACCGTTTGTCACTCATTTCCCAACGTCTTGTCTCTTCTCACAATTCAAGTTCCTAGAATCAACCCACCCGCGCCTGCAACATGGCTTCATCCCAGAGGTCGCAATTGGGACCCGTACCCGTACCCTGCCCGATACCCGGCCGGGTACGGGTAGCCGGGTATCAGGTAGGGTACGCGTACGGGTACCCGTTTGCGACTCTGGTGCGGCCGGGTACGGGTACGGGTAAGGAATCAAAACCCGTTTGCGACCTCTGGTTGGTGGGCGGTGGGAGGGTAGGGCCCACTTTCACCGATAAGACATCGTCCGCGTGAGGGCCCGCCACACGTTTGAAACCCATTGGGGGTTTGACAGCAACCTGACGGCAAGGGGCGTTTTCACTTTTGTGCATTTGTCGTGGGGTCTGCACTCAAAGCCACCAGGGGCCGCCAGTGGCCCGCGGGCCTTGTGCTGACGCTGGCTCAAGTCCCACAGTTTGTCCGGGACGGTCCCAGGCGAGGTAGTTTACATCTCCTAGCCACCGTGATGATGATGATGATGACACTCGGCTCAGGCTTGACTTGGCTCAACTTGGCTCAACTGAGCCGGCTCGAAGCCACGCTTGCCCGGAGCCGGCTCTGAGGACGGTCCCAGCCATTGCTGCGGGCCTTCAGTCGCCCTCCCTGGCCGCGTGTCGCCCTCCCAGTAGAGACGGTCGAACGCTGCGCGTCTCATCCGCTGTCCCCCTCGTCGTCATCGTCGTCGTTGTCGCATCTTCTCTTCCCGATGCAGCTGCTGCTTTTGGATCGCAACGCCAACCCGTCGGCCGAGGACATGAGCGGGAACACGCCTCTGCACCTGGCTTGCGGTGGGGGCCACGAGGCGGTGAGAAAGGGTGGGGGTGGGGGGGGTGGTTACGGCGAGAGCGGGGCGAGAGGAAGAGCGATCGATGTGGTGAGAGGAACGAGGTGGCCGGGTGGCCCCGGGGGGTCCTGACCGCCCTCGCAGCAAGGAGTGCCCGGGTTCGATTCCAGACTGTGGTGCTTTTCTTTGTGGAGTTTGTGTGTTCTCTCTCTCACTCTCCACCTGTTTTGCCTGGGTTTCCTCTCTGGTTCTCTGGTTCCCTTCAATCGCTAAAACAAAATAAGTAATAGTTTTAAAAAACTTTTTTAAAAACACGCTTTTATGAAATGTACTTGTCATGGCAGAACTCCACGACCCCAGGAAGTGGGCCCGAATCTTGCCATAACGTAAGGGACCGTGGCCAATTACAGCCAACGTCATTTAACCGTGGACAATTAGACTCAAGCCGAAACATAACGTATAAAAAAGAATCTTAAATTTTTATTTTTTTATATAATATAGTATTGTCATCAGTATGACATAAGTACCTGACCACGAAAAACGTGGCAGGCCAAAATCGCAGCATCCCAGTGTTAGTTAACATCTCCTAGCCACCGTGATGATAATGATGAGAGAGAGAGACACGCAAACTCCAAATATACAGCAGCAGGCGTCAGGGTCGGGATCGAACCCACGACCTCTTGCCTACCCGGCGAGGTAGTTCACATTTCCCAGCCACCGTGATGATGCTGATGAGAGATAAAGACACGCAAACTCCAAATATACAGCATGGGTCGGTATCGACCCCACGACCTCCTGCATACCAGGCGAGCTGGTCAACATCTCCTTAGGCAGTGCTTGAAGCCCTTTCCCCTGCCTCCCGTGTGGTGGTGGCAGTGCGTGAATCCCTTCCCCCTGCCTCCCGTGTGCGTGCGGCAGTGCGTCAAGCCCTTCCCCCTGCCTCCCGTGTGCGTGCGGCAGTGCGTGAAGGCGCTGGTGTTCTTCAGTGCCCGGGGCCGCCACGTCGACCCCAGCGCTCAGAACGACCGCGGGGACTCGCCGCTGCACGTGGCGGCGCGCTGGGGCTACGAGCCCGTGGTGGCCACCCTGCTGGAGGCCGGCGCCGCGCCCGACCTGCAGAACCGCGCCGGCGAGACGGCGCTCACGTGCGCGCTCAACTCGCGGGTGAGTGGAGGGGCCCCGTGCCTGCGTGAGCGTGTGAGCATGCGAGAGCACGCGTGAGCGTGTGAGCATGCGAGAGCACGCGTGAGCGTGTGAGCATGCGAGAGCACGCGTGAGCGCGTGAGTGAGTGCGTGAGCGTGTGGGCGTGTTGGCCTGTGATTGCGTGAGTGAGTGCGTGAGTGAGTGCGTGAGCGCGTGTGCATGTGAGCGTGTGAGAGCACGCGTGAGAGCGTGAGTGAGTGCGTGATCGTGTGAGCGTGTGAGCGCCAAGTAAGGCCCACTGAGCTACGTAGCTCCTTTTCAGAAGCTAACCGGCCTCAAGTGATAGCTCAACGAAGAGCTTATCACGTGAAAATGTACAGCAGCCAAATACTCGAAGCGCACATCTCTAAACATGGAGGGAGAAATTGGAGGATCCGGAGAAGCGGCGCCGGCGGGCGCAGCGTTACCGGCCGACGCCGCGATATATCAGGCACTACAGGCAGCAGAGCACTGTACGGCAAAATCCATTTTGGTTGTCGTACCGCACCATGGCGCTTTCACCGTCCCACGCTCCCCCGCGTTGGCCAACCCACACCGACCGCCGCGGTGGAATGTGGCCAGCTGTGACCCTGACCACCCCGTGCGGTGCTCGGCGCGGCGAGGCCTTCGGTGCGGTGGCAACGTACGTTGAACTTCTTTCGCACCGTACGTAGCCGGCCGTGCCCGTCGCCCCCGTGCAGGCGAGACGGCGAGCAGCGTCCGTGCGGTCGTGGGTGACGGCATCGGCGGACGTGGCCGGGGCTTTACACCAAGTCGCCCTGTCGCCAGGCCAACGCAGCCTGCGACCACCGCCGCGTCGCGAGTCTGAGAACCCGTGGGTGGAGTGGACTGGGGTCGGGAAAGCAGGGGGCCGTCGTCCGTGTGTGCAGAGGCTGTGTCTGGTGTATTCCACCCCACCCCACACCCCCCCCACCCCCGTGTCTCTTCCGCAGGTCATGGCTCTGATCCACAATTCCAGTCCGCATTCTGACGAGGTGCGTTGGCCCCGGTTGAAAATCGGTGCTGCTGGTTGTGTGGGGGGAGCGGCGGCGCATTCCCCTTCACGGCCACCGCCGGTGGCGATTATCTGAACCAGTCCTGGGCCTCCCCTAGGTCGACTCGGTCTCAATGAGTACCTGGTGCGGTTTATAGTAAACATCGCCACTGGGGAGACAAAGGCGGCCGGGCGTGATGTTGGCTACCCCCCACCTCCTCATGTGCTGTTCCGGCCTTTATAGGTGCATGCTAACAGCACTTGCCCCAACAGTTTGTTAAAGCTATACGGGGGATCTTCGTGTATTGGTGCTGGTTGTGGTGCTGGTGGTGCTGTTCTGCATGGATTTCCTCCATGTTCCACCTGTTTCCTGTTGTAACGAGCAAACCCCCCATACGTAATGGTAACAGCTGTTGGCCGAAATCACAACGTTACCTACAGGGCAGCATGGAGACGCTGCCCTGTCTCCACGCTGTCTCTACGCTGCCCTGTCCCCGCTTCGCCCTGTCTCCACGCTGCCCTGTCTCCACGCCGTCCTCATCTCTGTGACTGCCGTAGTGTTGGTCCTCCCTTTTTATTGTGCCCCAGCACTCGGCCCCGTACAACAGCACCGGCCTCACCACCGTCTTGTGCTATACACTACACTATACACTACACTACACACTACACTATATACTGCACTACTATACACTACACTATACACTACTACACTACACTATACACTACACTATATACTGCACTACTACACACTACACTATACACTAAACTATACACTACACTATATCCTGCACTACTATACACTACACTATACACGACTACGCTACACTATACACTACACACTTTTCCCTGCAACAAAACTGGGGGGGAGCTTCTTATCGCCCACCACACCAAACATCTCTTGCCATTTCAGCCATCCAGCCCTTACGTGTATTTCCGCTCGATAAGCAACTTGGTTGAGTTATCGTTTGTGGCCAGATCGCTGAGCAAAAATGTGATATAGCTCGGTGAACCCTTATCTGGTAAAATAAAAAAAAATTGTTTAGTTTGTAGTTTTGTTACGTGACCCCGCTCTGTGCCCCAACCTCGGTCGCTTTCAGCCACCTGACAGCAGCAAGGCATCCGATAGGCCGTCGCCCTCAGCCAATCGGAGCCCAGATTGCAGCAGCAGCAGCCGGCGCTCATCGACGCTGTCGGACGCGTCGTCGTCGCTGTCGTCGTCGGCGACGATGCTGGAGACGCAAAGCGACGATGAGAAGAGCAGGGTGCGTGAGGTACGGGGTGGTGGTGGCTTCTGGTGATGATGGTGGTGGTGGTTGGTGTGGTTGGTGGTGGCTGGTGGTTGGTGTGGTTAGGGGTGGCTGGTGGTTGGTGGTGGTACTGGTGCTAGTGGTGTTGCTGCTGCTGGTGGTTGCTAGAGGTGCTGGTGGTGGTGTGATTGATGCTGGTGCTGCTGGTGGTGGTTGGTTGTGGTGGTCCTGGTGGTGGTTGGTTGTGGTGGTGCTGGTGATGGTTGGTTGTGGTGGCGCTGGTGGTGGTTGATTGTGGTGGTGCTGGTTGTGGTGGTTGTGGTGGTGCTGGTGGTGCTGGTGGTGCTGGTGGTGGTTGGTTGTGGTGGTGCTGGTGGTGGTTGTTGTGGTGCTAATGGTAATGTAGCGGTTAGCACACTGCGCTACGAACCCGGCGACTCGCGTTCAATTCCCGCTCACGGCCAACACCTGTGATGAATATCTGAACCGGTCCTTAGCCTCCCCTAGGTCTACTCGGCCTCAAATGAGTACCTCATGCAGTGTGTAGGAAACATCGCGACTAGGGAGACAAAGGCGGCCGGGCGTGGTGCTGGCCACCTACCCCCTCGTGTGCCGTGCCGGCCTTCATAGGTGCTCGCTAACAGCACTTGCCCCAACAGCTTGTTCAGGCTTTACCGGGGATTTGTCTCTGTGGTGCTAGTGGTGTTGCTGCTGCTGGCGGTTGTTAGTGGTGCTGGTGGTGGTGCTGGTGGTGCTGGTGATTGTTGGTTGTGGTGGTGCTGGCGGTGGTTGGTTGTGGTGGTGCGGGTGGTGGTTGATTGTGGTGGTGGTGTTGGTGATGGTTGTGGTGGTGATGGTTGTGGTGGTGCTGGTGGTGCTAGTGGTGGTGCTGCTGCTGGTTGTTCAGCCCAGCCGTTGTTATTCCAGCGGCGCTACAATCACAACATGATGGCCATCATCGTCGTCATCACTGTGGTCGTCATCACTATCGTCGCCATTATCGTTATCGTCGCCATCGTTGCCGTCGTCATCGCAAACCGCCGCCGTCATTCGGCCGGGTAACCGACCGCGCGGCTTTCTGCGGCTGTGCTACGCGCGTGTGTGCCGTGTGTGCAGGTGGAGCGCCTGCTCAAGGCCGTGGCCGACGGGGACCTCGTCATGGTGAGCGTTCTGCCCGGCCGCGTGAGCCCGGCCGTGGCGAGGGAGGTTCTCGCGCGCGGGCGGTGATCTGAGACTAGGCCGCGGCGCACACGCGGTTATCGCGACTCCCTCCCTGTGAGGGTCTGTGGATGCCTGGGCAAGTCTGTTGGTATCTACGCGAGTCTACGGGTCTCTCTTTGGGTCTGCGGGTCTCGGAGTCTGTGGGTCACTCTGTGAGACTGTGGGTCTCGGAGTCTAGGTCATGTGAATCTGTGGGTTTCAGAGTCTAGGTCATGTGAATCTGTGGGTCTCGGAGTCTGTAGGTCACGATGTGACTGTGGGTGGCTGAGTCTAGGTCACTCTGGGAATCTTTGGGTCTCGGAGTCTGTGGGTCACTGAATGTGGGCCACTGAGTGTGGGTCTCTGTCAGTCTGTGGAGTGGAGTAGAGTTAGATGAGAGGGGAGAGGTAGGAGAGTGCGTGGAGGGGAGTAGAGAGGCAGGAGAGTGCGTGGAGGGGAGTATAGTGAGATGAGAGGGAAGAGGTAGGAGAGTGCGTGGAGGGGAGTAGAGTGAGATGAGAGGAGAGAGGTAGGAGAGTGCGTGGAGGAGAGTGGAGTGAGATGAGAGGGGAGAGGTAGGAGAGTGCGTGGAGGGGAGTAGAGTGAGATGAGTGGGGAGAGGTAGGAGAGTGCATGGAGGGGAGTAGAGTGAGATGAGAGGGGAGAGGCAGGAGAGTGCGTGGAGGGGAGTATAGTGAGATGAGTGGGGAGAGGTAGGAGAGTGCGTTGAGGGGAGTAGAGTGAGATGAGAGGGGAGAGGTAGGAGAGTGCGTGGAGGGAAGTAGAGTGAGATGAGAGGGGTAGGGGAGTGCGTGGAGGTGAGTAGAGTGAGATGAGTGGGGAGAGGTAGGAGAGTGCATGGAGGGGAGTAGAGTGAGATGAGAGGGGAGAGGTAGGAGAGTCCGTGGAGGGGAGTGGAGTGAGATGAGAGAGGTAGGAGAGTGCATGGAGGGGAGTAAAGTGAGATGAGAGGGGAGAGGTAGGAGAGTGCGTGGAGGGGAGTAGAGTGAGATGAGAGGGGAGAGGCAGGAGAGTGCGTGGAGGGGAGTAGAGTGGGATGAGAGAGAGGGGAGAGGTAGGAGAGTGCGTGGAGGGGAGTGGAGTGAGATGAGAGAGGGGAGAGGCATGAGAGTGCGTGGAGGGGAAGTAGAGTGAGATGAGAGGGGAGAGGTAGGGGAGTGCGTGGAGGGGAGTGGAGTGAGATGAGAGAGAGGGGAGAGGCAGGAGAGTGCGTGGAGGGGAGTAGAGTGAGATGAGAGGGGAGAGGTAGGGGAGTGCGTGGAAGGGAGTGGAGTGAGATGAGAGAGAGGGGAGAGGCAGGAGAGTGCGTGGAGGGGAGTAGAGTGAGATGAGAGGGGAGAGGTAGGGGAGTGCGTGGAGGGGAGTGGAGTGAGATGAGAGAGAGGGGAGAGGCAGGAGAGTGCGTGAAGGGGAGTAGAGTGAGATGAGAGGGGAGAGGGAGGAGAGTGCGTGGAGGAGAGTAGAGTGAGATGAGAGGGGAGAGGCAGGAGAGTGCATGGAGGGGAGTAGAGTGAGATGAGAGGGGATAGGTAGGAGAGTGCATGGAGGGGAGTAGAGTGAGATGAGAGGGGAGAGGCAGGAGAGTGCATGGAGGGGAGTAGAGTGAGATGAGAGGGGAGAGGTAGGAGAGTGTGTGGAGGGGAGTAGAGTGAGATGAGAGGGGAGAGGCAGGAGAGTGCGTGAAGGGGAGTAGAGTGAGATGAGAGGGGAGAGGCAGGAGAGTGCATGGAGGGGAGTAGAGTGAGATGAGAGGGGAGAGGTAGGAGAGTGCGTGGAGGGGAGTAGAGTGAGATGACAGGGAAGAGGCAATATAAGTCTTTAGCGATGACCACGTGGTTTAACAGGACTGTGCGTGGTGTGTCCGCCTCCCCTCCCCGTGCGGTTCCCGCTGGGCACAGACGCGCTTCCTGCTGGGCTGGACAGACGACAGCGACGAGAGCGACACAGAGGCGTTCCCCCCGATGTTTCAGCTGTGCCACCCGCTGTGTCAGTGCGCGACATGCCAGCCTCAACAGAGGGTAAGTGCACTCGCAAAGATACAGGCGAAGATCTCCCCCCCAGAGCCTTAGCAGACTTTTGGGGCAAGTGCTGTTGGCGAGTAGCGGTAGCAAATTTTTTGGTGGCCAGCACCATGCCCGGCCACCTTTGTTCCCCCCCCCCCCCGATGTTATAAACACCGCACCAGGTACTCGCTTAAGCCTGAGTCGACCGACGTGGGGTCCAGGGACCGGTTCGGATTTTCGCCACCGATGTTAGCTGTGCCTGGGAATCGAACTCGGGTCCGCCGGGTTTGTGGCGGGCAGTGCGCTAACCACTGTGGCAAAGCGATTGGTGGCTGCACCGGAAACATTTACTTACAGTGTTTGGCTGCGGTACGTTTTCACACGATGATAACACTGGTCAAAAAATTCTGGCCTGGACTTTTGCAGCTGTTCTAGACTAATTTCAGGGTGCCGATTCCAAATCTGATCTCAGATTTGCTCTATCACATCTCATTTTTATGCTATCGGCATACCCCATTTTCATTGATTTTACCCGAAATTAACTCTGTCACTTATGATTGCAAGTTGTTGCGAGTCAGTGACTGCTTTAGTGTTAAAATATGGTGCTGTATTTTTAGGACAGCGGTAGCGCAGCGGGTAGCGCTACGCTGCGCTACGAACCCGGCGACCAGAGTTCGATTCCTGCTCAAAGGCCACCAACACTGGTGACGATTTATTATAACCGGTCCTGGGCCTCCACTAGGTCGACTCGGTGCGGTGTGTAAACATGGCCACTGGGGAGACAAAGGCGGCCAGGCGTGGTGCTAGCCACCCACCCCCTCGTGTGCCGTGCCGGCCTTCATAGGTACTGCTCGCTAACAGCACTTGCCCCTACAGTCTGTTAAACCGATACAGGGGATCTTTGTCTGTTGTGTGCACGTGTACATGTGCGTGTTGTGCATTAGCCAGTCATCTCAGTCATCTCAGTCGGTCAACCCGTGGCACCTGACTCTGTCCCGTGACCTCCTTGCTAGTTCGACACTTCACGTGGCCGTAAAGTGCACACAGCCTGGCACGGTCACTTAATGATGAATGACGGTTGTTGTTGTCGTGTGCACGTGTGTGTTTGTGTGTACGTGCGTGTGCACGTGTGTGTGTGTGTGTGTGAATGTGTGTTTGTGCACGTGTGCACGTGTGGGTGTGCGCGTGTGTGCACGTGTGTGTGTGTGCGCGTGTGCACGTGCGTGTGCACGTGTGTCTTTGTGCGTGTGCGCGTATGCGCGTGTGTGTGTGTGTGTGCACCTGTGTGTGTGCACGCGTGTGTGTGTGTGCACGTGTGTGTGTGCGTATGTGTGCGTGTGTGCGCGTGTGCACGGCACAGCGTGCCTCGCTGTTGTCGTCCTCGGGGCTCTCGGTGAACGCGAGCGACCGGGACGGCCTCACGCCGCTCCACGCGGCCTGCGCCAACGTCGGCGCCGCTGCCCAGCTCACGAGCGCGCTGCTGCGGCATGGCGCCGACCCTGACGTCGGCACGCACCGCAACGGCCACACCCCGCTGCACACCGCGGCCCGGCTAGGCCTGGCGCAGGTGGGGGTGGGCGAGTGGGCCCCGGGGCGGTCAGTGGGTGGGGGTGTGAGTGGGTGGGGGTGTGAGTGGGTGGGTGGGTGGATGAGTTGGTGGGGGTGTGTGTGGGTTGGTGGGGGTGTGTGTGTGTTGGTGGGGGTGTGTGTGGGTTGGTGGGGGTGTGAGTGGGTGGGTGGGGGTGTGTGTGGGTGGGGGTGTGAGTGGGTGGGTGGGGGTGTGAGTGGGTGGGGGTGTGAGTGGGTGGGTGGGGGTGTGTGTGGGTGGGGGTGTGAGTGGGTGGGGGTGTGAGTGGGTGGGTGGGTGGATGGATGAGTTGGTGGGGGTGTGAGTGGGTGGATGGGTGGATGAGTTGGTGGGGGTGTGTGTGGGTTGGTGGGGGTGTGTGTGGATGAATGGGTGGGGGTGTGTGTGGGGGTGTGTGTGGATGAGTGGGTGGGGGTGTGAGTGGGTGGGGGTGTGAGTGGGGTTGTGAGTGGATGAGTGGGTGGGGGTGTGTGTGGGTGGGTGGGGGTGTGTGTGGATGAATGGGTGGGGGTGTGTGTGGGGGTGTGTGTGGATGAGTGGGTGGGGGTGTGAGTGGGTGGGGTGTGGGTGGGTGGGTGGATGGATGAGTTGGTGGGGGTGTGAGTGGGTGGATGGGTGGATGAGTTGGTGGGGGTGTGTGTGGGTGGGTGGGGGTGTGTGTGGATGAATGGGTGGGGGTGTGTGTGGGGGTGTGTGTGGATGAGTGGGTGGGGGTGTGAGTGGGGTTGTGAGTGGATGACTGGGTGGGGGTGTGAGTGGGTGGGTCGCTGTGTATCCGTGTGTCGGTGACCAGGTGGCCGACATCCTCCTGGAGCACGGGGCAAAGGTCAACAAGCGCGACCGCGACGGGAACACCCCGCTCCACCTGGCGTGCGTCGCCCCTTCAGCTCTCACTGTGCTGCTCCTCGTACAGGTGACGATCTCCTCCCTCCTCTCTCCTCCCTCCTCCTCCTCTATTCGACGGGAGTAGCCGGCAGCGGGACGTCCAGGTTGGCCTCCCGCTCGGTGGCTCCCGGAGACGCCGAGTGGGGGAAAGGACGTGGCCTCTCGCAGCGAATGTGAGCGGCAGGGCAGATGGACGCGATAGTCGCCCGTAGGCGCCCCTACTCGCCCGTACACGCGCCCACTCGCATTCCCATCGACTTGCCCATACACACCCATACACACCCATACACACCCATACACAACCCATCAACTTGCCCATACACACCCATACACACCCATACACACCCATACACACCCATACACACCCATACACACCCATACACACCCATCGACTTGCCCATACACACCCATCGACTTGCCCATACAAACCTATACACACCTATACACACCTATACACGCACACATACACGCACACACCTACACCTGTATAGACACACACCTAGAGCGGCACAGTATGCACGGCCGCCGTCGTCACCACGTGTGCGTCGCCGCGTGTGCTTTGCCATGTGCGTCGCCGCGTGTGCTTTGCCATGTGCGTCGCCGCGTGTGCTTTGCCATGTGCGTCGCCGCGTGTGCTTTGCCATGTGCGTCGCCGCGTGTGCTTTGCCATGTGCGTTGCCGTGTGTTCGTTGCCATGTGCATTGCCGCGTGTTCGTTGCCATGTGCGTTGCCGCGTGTTCGTTGCCATGTGCGTTGCCGCGTGTTCGTTGCCATGTGCGTTGTCGCGTGTTCGTTGCCATGTGCGTTGCCGCGTGTTCGTTGCCATGTGCGTTGCCGCGTATTCGCTGCCATGTGCGTTGCTGCGTGTTCGTTGCCATGTGCGTCGCCTCGTGTTCGTTGCCATGTGCGTTGCCGCGTGTGCGTTGCCATGTGCGTTGCCACGTGTTCGTTGCCATGTGTGTCGCCGCGTGTGCGTTGCCTGCCGCAGCACGGTGCCAGCGCGTGCCTGGTGAACCGGCGTGGGGATTCGGCGCTGCACGAGGCGGCGCGCGCGGGCAGCGCCGATGCCGTGCGGGCGCTGCTCTACGCCGGCGCCAGCGCCGCCGTCAAGAACCGCCAGCAGCGGATACCGGCGCAGCTCGCAGTGGTGAGGGGTGAGGGGGGGGGGGTTGGTGAAGGGCCACGGGGGGGGGGGGGGTTGGTGAAGGGCCACGGGGGGGGGGGGTTGGTGAAGGACCACGGGGGGGGGGGTTGGTGAAGGACCACGGAGAGGGGGGGGTTGTGAGTGGGTCTAAGCTCGAGTTCCTCTGCACATTTTTCACCACCACCCCCCAACACCCCCCCCCCCACCACCCACCACCCCCCACCACCACTCCCCACTCCCCTCTTCCCAAACGCAGGAGCAGGAGGTGCTGGAGCTACTGGAGAGAGCGGAGGCGGAGGAGAGGGGGTCCGAGGTGGACGGCCGTGAGGGTGGGGGGCCCCGCGCCCCGCCGGGGGTTGGGCACGGCGCCGCTGTTGGCGCCCGGCGCCACCGCAGCGGTACGCCGTGGCGGGCGGTGGGGGGGTGGCTCCGCGCCGGCAGCGTCGTTCGGAGGGGACAGCGCCATCGTCATCATCATTAGCACCATCATCATGACCATCATTATCATCACCATCATTACCATCATTTATCATCGCCATCATTACCATTATCACCATCATGATCATCACCATCGTTATTGCCACTGTTATCAACATCATTACCATTATCACCATCATCATGACCATCATTACCATTATCACCATCATCATTACCATCATCATTATCATCACCATCATTACCATTATCGCCATCATTACCATCATCGCCATCATCATTACCATTATCACCATCATTACCATCATCACCATCATCATTACCATTATCATCACCATCAGTACCATTATCATCATTATGATCATCACCGTCATCATTACCACCGTCATCAACATCATTACCATCATCATTACCATCATCATTACCATCATTACCATTATCACCATCGTTACCATTATTACCATAACCATTATCATCACGATCATCATCACCATTATCACCATTATCACCATTATCACCATCGTCACCATCGTCACCATCGTCACCATTATCACCATCTATCCGGCCAAGCAAGCTTCTTGGGTATGATGCGGTGGCTGGGTGTGGGGGCAACACGACCCAGCCAACACAGCCTCTTTCCCTGGGGGGGAGCTCACTGGTGATGGGGACTGCACACATCTTTCAAGGGTCTGCACATAATCCAGTCTGGTTACACATGGACCCAAACAAAGACAAAGATCCCCCGTATAGCCTGTAACAGCCCGTAGGGCCAAGTGCTGTTAGCGAGCAGCACCTATGAAGGCACACAAGGGGGTGGGTAGTCGGCACCACATCCGGCCTATGTTTACACACCGCACCAGATACTCATTTGAGGCTGAGTCGACCGAGGGAAGGCCCAGGACCGGTTCAGATAATCGCCACTGATTTTGTCCGTGAGCGGGAGATTCGATCTCGGGTCACCAGGTTCGTAGCGCAGCGCACTAACCATTACACCACCGTTCCCCCACCAGCACTCTGCACACGTACGCACGCGCGCACACGTACGCACACGTACGCACGTACGCACACGTACGCACTCGTGCACACGTACGCACGCGTACGCACGCGTACGCACACGCGCGCACGTGTACACTGACACCGTCTCGTGGTTGTGTGCGGCAGTGAGGAGCCTGTTCGAGGCGGTGGATGAGGACGACTACGACGCGGAGAGGACTCGCCTCTCGCTCGCCAGCGCCTCCTTTGACAAGTAAGTGGCGCTCGGCCGGCGCGTCCCCACGCGTGCGTGTGTGTGTGTGTGTGTGTGCCAACGCGTGTGTGTGTGCGTGCCAACGCGTGTGTGTGTGCGCGTGCCAACGCGTGTGTGTGTGCGCGCGCATGCCAACGCGCGTGTGTGCGTGCCAACGCGTGTATGTGTGTGCGTGCCAATTCGCGCGCGTGTGTGTGTGCGTGCCAACGCGTGTGTCTGTGCGTGCGTGCCAACGCGTGTGTGTGTGTGCGCGCGTGTCGCTGTGTGGGAGGGAGCGGTGGCACAGTGGTTGGCGCACGACGCCAGGATCCCGGCGACCCGAGTTAGATTCCCCGCTACGCGGCAAACAGCCGCGTCGTACCTCGGTGGCGAGATGTTATTTCCCTGATCTGGTATGCAGGAGGTTTGATCCCGGCCCTGCGCGTTTTCTCTCTCCCCGTGGTCGAGCGGATTATTTTCCAGGTCCTCCGGTTTTCCCCCATCCACATTTCGAGTATTTGCCTGCGATGAACTTCCACGTGATGAGTAGCCACTTTCGTTGAGCTTTCATTTATCGCCAGGTGACTTCTGAAAAAAGAGACGTAGAGCTTAGTGGGCCTTGCCTGGTCAACAGCCGTTACAGGCTATATGGGAGGGGATCTTTGTGTTTGTTTGGTTTTATGTACGTTTTATGTGTGTGTGTGTGCATGTGTGTTTGTGGGGGTGCGACACTCACAACAACGAGCCGAGCGCCTAAAACGCAGCAAGCTGGCATAGTAGTGGGCACAGTTGGTGCATCAGCCAGTCATCTCGGTCAGTCGACCCGTGGCACCTGCTGGGTCTGTCCCGTGACCTCCTGCCAGCGGGCGTTCGACGCTTAACCTGGCCTTAAAGTGCACCCAGCCTGGCACAGGCGCCGTGGCGAGGTCACCTCCGCTTAGCGGCAAATGGCAGTTGCCGTTGGGGGAGGGACGACGCAGTTGATTAAACTCCCTGCGCTACCCGAGTTCGATGACCCCGACCTTGACGAAGTTCGTGCGATCGTTTTGATGCCCCCCCCCCTGCCACCCCCGCGTAGCTCCAAGCACCCACGGCGGTCGCCCGCCCCCGCCGACCCCCAGGACGTCCCGTCGGCCGACGGCTGCCCCGCGTCCGCCGCTCCGACGGAGAGACCCGCCGAGCCCGGGCGGGACGGAGGTGACCCACCGCCGTCGTCACCGCCGTCGTCACCGCCGTCGTCACCGCCATCGTCGTCGCCGCCGCCATCGCCGTCCTCTCTCGGCGGGCCGTCCGCGCACGTGGACGGCGTCGCCTGAGCCGACGTCCGCGACGGCGTCCGTCGCAAAGAGAGCCGCTTGCGGAAGAAGACGGGGGAGCGCGCGCCGTTCGGCGGACGGGGGCGGTGGGGGGGGGAAACTTGAATCGGGATTCTGGCCCAGGGAAAAGAAAAAAGGAAGCCTTAAAAGAGCCAGGAACCGTTTTATCTTCGCGAGTTTGTGGTCACACAGCTGCTATGTTCACGACGCGCGTGTGTCATGCTGACGGCGCGCGTGAGAGAAGAGAGATAGAGAGAGTCCAGGGCGGATTGTTGTTTTATAATATGGCGGCGGGCGCGTGGATAATATATATTTTTTAAGTTTGCGAATCAGGGCGACAATGATGACGACGACGACTGTGCGTGGCGGGGGAGGGAGGGGGTGTGTGGCGGTCCCCTCGTGTATTTAAGCGCCGACGCGCACACTCGCTCGTCCGCCTCGTTTGCGTTTTCGTCGGTGAACTTTTTGCGACGCTCGCAGCGAAATGTCGCGTTCGCCGCCCCCCCCCACACCGCCGCCCCCCCCCGCCCCGCCCCCCCCCCCAGCTGAACGAGACCCCCAGGCCAACGGACGTTGACCCCCGGGCCAACGGATGTTGACCCGACCTCTCGCGACGACCAACCGGGAGGGGAAGGGCTACGGGAGGGACATGGCTGACACCATGAGGGAGCTCTCTTAAAACTCTCAATTTCTGCTGTTGAGACTCAAAAGCTCCGAAAGCCTGGTTCAGAGTGTGTTTACCCAGGTGCTGCTGGATAATAATTTACTCTACACGCGCGATGTTGATTCTAAATATGGGGAAAGAAGCGGAAACTGGAGGACCCGCAGGAAAAAATCCACGCAACCACTCCAATTCTACAGCAGGCGTCAGGGTCGGGATCAAACCCACGACCTCCTGTAGACCAGGCGAGGTAGTTGACATCTCCTAGCCACCGTGATGATGAGAGAGACGCAGATGTCAAATATACAGCAGGCGTCAGGGTCGGGATCAAACCCACAACCTCCTGTATACCAGGCGAGGTAGTTGACATCGCCTAGCCACCGTGATGATGATGATGAGAGAGACGCAGACTCCAAATCTACAGCAGGCGTCAGGGTCGGGATCAAACCCACGACATCCTGTATACCATGCGAGGTAGTTAACATCTCCTAGCCAACGCTTGCCAGGAGACGGCCGATGCCGTTTGAGCTGCGGCTCATGATGCAGCTTGTGCTCCGAATAGAATATTTAGGGTTGTAAGAATTTCACTACTAACAACACCACCACCAATACTACCACCGCCAGCATCATTACAATTACCAGCACTGCAATCATCACCACCGCTACCACCACCCTCAACATCACGACAACCACCATCACTACTACCATCAATAACATCATCACCACCACTACCATCATCACGCCTGCTTCCACTACTATGGACATCACCGCTACTACCTCCACCATCATCACTACTACTCCCACCACTACCATCGTCACCACTGCTACCAACATCATCGCCATTACTACCTCCACCATCATCACTACTACTACCACCACTACCATCATCACCACCACTACCAACATCATCACCGCTACTACCTCCACCATCATCACTACTGCTACCACCACTACCATCGTTACCACCGCTACCAACATCATCCCCATTACTACCTCCACCATCATCACTACCAGCGCTACCGTCATCACCACCATAGCAATTCGATGCATTGTCGGCCATTCAGGGTCACGATTCAACTCAAGATCTCAGACGTTTTTTTAGTGTTGTGTCGTTTTGGTGAATGTAGTCGCTGCAAGGGGCATTTGAATTCCGTCTGCCGGTGGTGAAACGGCGGCGGCGTTCCCAGCGTGGTGCGCTTCGAGTCCCAGGGTCACGTGGCCGCAGCCGACTCGTGATTAAGATCCAGGGTTATGAAGCGGGGGGGGGGGGGGGGGGGGGCAGGGGAAGGGTTTGTGGGGGGGAGAGGGGACCAAGATAAGACGCAAAAACACAGATGATGACAGCCGTGTACATCCGGCGATGATCGGGTTTTAACTGGCCAGCGCGGTTGTGGTGGGTGGGTGGGGGGGGGGTCAATTCGTTTGTCCGTTTATCGACCCTCGACGAGCCAGTAGCGGGGCGGGACCGGCCGATCGCTAACCCCCGGCGCCAACGCGGCGAGCCGTTCACTTGATGATCGCTCTGCGGTCAACCCTGCAACCGGCGGATAAATCCACGCGCGCGGGCGATCGAGAGTGCGCGGGCGATCGAGAGTGCACGGTGCATCCCAGGTTGTTGGCCGCCAGACGCAGGGGGGGGGGGGGGTGGTGGTGGGGGGGGGGGGCCCTCGCGATATTGAAATCGTTTTCGGTTTTCCGATGACTGACCAGCAATGGTGGGGACACGGTGGGGGGGGGGGGGGGGGGGGGGCGGTCGTCGCCGATTTCTTTGGGGGTCTAACGCCGGATCGTTTGTAATTATTTACATTTCAAAAATATCTATTTCTTCAGGGACTCGAGTATGAGAGACCGGGCCATCGCGGGTGATTTTCTTTTTTTTTGCGCGCTCGGTGCAGTCTCTTCGGCCGGTCGGAGGCACCGCGGCGTTTTGGGTTGAGCCTTGCCTCTCCCCCCCCCACAGCCGTCCCTAGGGTACGCGGCGAATCGGGGTGACTGCCCGGGGCCCCGTGCTTTGGGGGAGTAGGGTGTGATTGTCCCGCCCACCGCCCCCCTCCCCACTGTGTCTCCCAGCAGAAAGCACTTGGTAGGTCCGCAACAATTCAGCACCGATGTCACGGCAGCAGTCGTTACAAACTCGTCCCATGTTTACTCCAAGTGATTCTCACACACACAGGGTTCGAAACGTCGATGGAATTATGCACGCGCGCAAATCGACGAACGGTTGTTGCGTTAATCGTTATCATAATAATCGTGGTTGGTTGAGGCGGCGGGTGGTTGGAGAGGGGGGGAGGCGTTTTATTGGCCGCCCCCCTAACTCCGCCCACCTGTGTCACGTGGTCTTGTCCCGGGAGAGCGAGAGAGGAGCCCTGTGGTTGGCCCTTTCCGTCGCGCTCCCGCACGTGCTCGCTTTTGCTGCTGCCTTCGCGAGGAACGCTATTGGCCGCATCGAAAGCGGCCTGTTTCTCTCGCCTCTGCTTCCTCCCTCCGTCCGTCCGTCCATCCGTCCGGAGTCCGAATGAGAAATACGTATTCATCGCTGGAGTAATCCGATGAGCTATAAAGCTCTTATTCTCATACGTCCAGTCGAAGCGGGAAAGCAGAAGCCGTTGAAGGGATTAGAAGTTCGTGACCTTGCAGACGCGCGTGCCACCGTCCGTGTGTTTCCACTGTCCGTGTGTTTCCACCGCTGTGGCACCTAAGCTAGAAGCTTGGTTTCATACTGGAAGAGACTTGATAGAGTCAGGGTTGACGCGCGTGGCTCTCTCTGTTACCGCGTGTTTTTTGTGCTGTTACCGTGCGTGCGTGCGTTCGACGATTGTCTCAACGTTTTCTCGCCACGTGCCAGTTGGGGGTAGAGCTTTCTTCGATGCAACCAAACTCGGTTCTTCGAGAACCCAATTCGCTTTTTTTTTTTGCCTGCCGAAGAGCTGCGAGCGAATCGACACGCAGGCGGCACGACCCGAACACGCAGCCGGAGGACGGCCGCACAACGCCAGTCGCATTATTATTGCCGGCGGCACCACCGCCACCACCACCACAGCTGCCACCACCCCCGCCGCCACCACCACCACAGCCGCTAACAGCCAACAACGCGCACGTCGCCGTGACGATGCGCGGCTTCGTTGTGACGTCGCGACCCCACGTGACGACGATGTCGCTCGCGCCGTCGAATGGGTGCGGGCGGTTTCGACGGCTGCGCCCGACCAAAGCTTCGGAACGTCGAGCCGGCTGACCTGGCACGCACTCGGCAACCACCAGATCGGTGTGCGACCACAGGGAACTCGCCGGCCACGTTGCGGGCGATCGCTGGCGCCTCCGTGGCCACGGTGAAGGCGTCACGCGCCTTCTAACTGGACGGCAGCCGCCACCACAAAGCGCCACTCCAACGGGCCCTTGGGGGCACTCTCGCAATGCCGAGGTGTTCCTGCAGGTGACATTATTTTAAACGAATAAAACGCGCGTAATACAAAACGCACAAGGAAACCAGGTTCACTCAACTAATCTTTCTGGTGAGTTGGATTAAACGATGATGATAATGATGATGAGTGTGTGTGTGTGATTGCAGACCACATGATGTGGTATGTCACGTGGACAGGTCGTGACGTCGCAATGTTCCGTTGCGTGCTCGGTGTGCTTTGGGGTTGTGGCAAGGTGGTTGATGGTGGGGACAGTGGTGGGTGTGACGACACCTGTGGCCTCGCGGCAAGATGGCTGTGGAGCCTGGGTTCGATTCCCGACTTGGGGCGAACTTTCTCTGCGTGGACCAGAGGTCGCAATCGGGTACCCGATACCCGTACCCTACCCGATACCCGGCTACCTGTACCCGGCCGGGTACGGGTACCCGTTTGCGACCCTGGTGCGGCTGGGTACGGGTAGGCCGTGAGTCACTGGTGAGTAACCATTTGTCACTCATTTCCCAACGTCTTGTCTCTTCTCACAATTCAAGTTCCTAGAATCAACCCACCCGCACCTGCAACATGGCTTCATCCCAGAGGTCGCAATCGGGTACTCGTACCCTACCCAATACCCGGCCGGGTACCGGTAGCCGGGTATCGGGTACGGGTACCCGTTTGCGACCCTGGTGCGGACTCCACGAGACGATGCAAGTGAGACCCGACGCACCAGTACAAAATGTGGGAGAGGGCACGGGTGAGCTGGTGCGGGAAGCACAGATGACGAGGCCAGGCGGGACAAGGAAGGGTTGCGGCGAGGCGATCGGGACGGGACAATGAAAAGCAGCGGTGAAGGCCTTGGCTTCGTTTCTTTTAATGGGAAATATTCAGACGCTCATCAACCACCGCTCAACTTGGGCGGTGGAGGGGCTGCGTGGGACGGGGAGGGGGGGGTTATCCAGAGCTCAGCCCCGGGCAGCTCCAACCGAAATGAAGCCCTGGTCCGGACGGCAGTGCGGGCTAGCTCTGGGTTCTTCATTTGCGAGGCCCGCGGGCCAATGGCGGCCTCCCTGCGGTGGCCTTTAGAGCGGCCCCCCAGCAATGCACAAAGAGTGAAAACAGCCCCCCCCAGCCCCCCCCCCCCAAATCATCGTCATCATCCTGCTGCTGTCACCCCCCCCCCCTTCCCAATGGTTTCAAGTAACGTGTGGCCGCCCCTCTCACTCGCAACGCTGACGATGTCTTTATCGGCGAGAGCGGCCACCGGCCCCCCGAAAACGAGTGAAGAACACCGCTCTAGACGAACCAAATCGCGCACAAGATGGCCGCCGCCGCCGCGTACCTTGATCGAACCGTGACGCGCCCGCCGGCGTCTGTGACGCGGCTGTGACGCGGCTGTGACGCGGCTGTTTTAGCACGTGGTGGTGGTGATGACGACGACAGCGGCCTGGGTGGTTGACCTTCGACGTCGGTGGCTCTGTCGTGGGCCCCACTGCTGCGCGTGGCGCGCCGTGCCGCGCTCTTGTGAATGTAAAGGCTCCAGAGTGATGTTGCAATTAAAAGAACGCTCGCGTTATTTTTTTAACGAACCCGCGTCTCGTGTCCGCATCGTTGTGTCGCGCCCAGCTTTGGTGAATATTGTTGGGCGGCAGCGGTGCAGTGGCGGATGATTACTCGTTGGCCACAGCAAGAAGGGACCTGGGATCGAGTCCCGATTCGGGCGACTTGCTGTGTGTAGAGTGTATGTATGTGTGTGTGTTCTCTCTCTCTCTCCCTGTTGTGTAGGGTGCGTGAGTGAATGATTGTGTGACTGGCAGTGTGTGTGACTGGCAGTGTGTGTGACTGACTGTGTGTGTGTGTGTGACTGACTGTGTGTGTGACTGTGTGTGTGTGTGACTGTGTGTATGTGTGTGTATGACTGACTGTGTGTGTGACTGTGTGTGTGTATGACTGACTGTGTGTGTGAGTGAGAGAGTGACTGTGTGTGTGACTGTGTGTGTGTGTGTATGACTGACTGTGTGTGTGAGTGAGAGAGTGACTGTGTGTGTGACTGTGTGTGTGTGTGTATGACTGACTGTGTGTGTGAGTGAGAGAGTGACTGTGTGTGTGACTGTGTGTGTGCGTGTAGTTTGTGTTTTTCTCTCTCGCTCCCCCTGTTTCTGCACCGACTTCTCCCGGGTTCATCACACAGCTGGCAAACCCCCCGTGCTCAATGTTGACAATAACCTTTAAATTACGCGACCGAGATTAAACACAGCAGCCGCAGGCTTCCCTGGGCAAAGGAGCAGAATGTTGTGAATGAATTGGTGTGTCTGTGTGTGTGTGTGTCCCAGATTGTCATGACAATACCCAGAATCCCTCGAAGTATGTTGTTATGAATTTCGTCTATCGCGATCCGTGGCTCAAAATAGCGACATTAAGTCAGCTGCAAAATTATTTTTCACTTCCTTCACACCCACACTTTATTTGTGCGCCATGCGCCACAAACCCGGTGACCTCAATGTTTGATTGACACGGCCTCGCGGCTGTCATCAGTGGCGAGTGGAGTCTCAGCGTCTGACCACGTGTGGGCCTCTCACCTTCCCCTAGTTCCGCTCGGCCTCAAATGAACACCTTCCTGATGCTGTGTGTGTGTCTCTTTATGTGTGTGTGTGTCTGTGTGTGTGTTTGTCTGTGTGTGTCTCTGTGTGTCTCTGTGTGTGGGTGTCTGTGTGTGTGTGTCTGTGTGTGTATGTGTCTGTGTGTGTATGTGTCTGTCTCTATGTGTGTGTGTGTTTGTCTGTGTGTATGTGTCTGTGTGTGTCTGTGTGTATGTGTCTGTGTGTGTGTCTCTGTGTGTGTATGTGTCTGTGTGTGTATGTGTCTCTATGTCTGTGTGTGT